CACCCACACATACTATTCTATGACATTTAAGCATCCCAGAGTGATAAAATGCATATACAGTTCACTCATTACTTACCTTAAAATATTTGTAGTCTTAATTTAGGGTCAGGAGTGAGTAAGCGAGATAAACCAAATAAATGAGAGAGAGAGAGAATGAGTACATGAGGGAGGACAGGTGCAGAGTTATGTAAACAAACCAGGTGAATGTAAGTTTTGTAAGCAAACAAAGTGTACATGTCTGGTTTGTGTACAAGTTACATTGTGTACAAGTTGTCTCTACATTGATACAGTAAAATAAATAAAGAAGAACACTCCTATTCTCATGTAACACTATTTTTAGAAGAAATGACACTGAGTGAAGACAATGGAAACAAGTCACTCTGACTTTTTTGGGTTATCCTAGGTTCTCCACACATATGCTGTTATGTATGATAACCTATGTAACTGTATTTGTGTATACCTGAATAAACTTACATATGAAAGAAATAATTTTCTACAGTTACCCCCAGTAACACATTTTCTCTTATGTTAGATTAGAGAAAAATGTTATTCTTGCCGTCACTTTACAAGTTATCTAGCTACCACATCTCATATTTATGTTTATTTATTCTGTTGTGGGGTGTATTTATCATCTTTATATGTTATGTATCATGTTTATTATATAATTTTGAAAAAAATATCATGGATGGATTAATGAAAATGTGTATATTAATGTAATATACGACATTTAACCTGTAAACAGTCCAAACATATATATACGTTCTCTCCCGTAGTGCCCCAGATTTTTTGAGGAAAAAAAAATTGTTTTTTAATAGGAAAAAAGAGCATATGGTACCCATGCATCCCCAATTAATTTAATATGGCACACAGTGAGTGCGCACACCCATTCTCTGATGTCTAGGGGACTCAGGCTTATCGTGGCAATGTTGAATGTATGACAAATAAAACGTATATATACGTTTGGGGCACTAGCGGTTAAAACGTATACAGTGGACCCCCGGTTTACGATCAGCTCCCAATGCGACCAATTATGTAAGTGCGTTTGTATGTGTATGTTTGGGGGTCTGAAATGGACTAATCCAATTCACAATATTCCTTATAGGAACAAATTTGGTCAGTACTGGCACCTGAACATACTTCTGGAATGAAATAATATCATAAACCGGGGGTCCACTGTACATACGTTTGGACCGTTTACGAGTTAATGAGACTTGGTGATTATTATTATTTCTTATTCTACTGTGGGTTGTATTTGTCATATTTATATGTTATGCATCGTGTTTATTATATTATTTTGAAAAAAATATCATAGATGGATTAATGAAAATGTGTATATTAACGTAGTATACGACACATAAATGAGACTTGGTGATTATTATTATTACTAATATGGTATCTCGAGACATAAGACACTCTTACTGATTTTAATGTGTACCTGCACACCAGCACAGTATGCAAATTTATTTAGGTACAGGTATACATAAGTATAATTATCAGAGTATATATAAAATATGAAATAACTTTTAAAAGCACTTGAAATTTTGGAGTTTCAGACATAATGGAGAGAGTGCGTACGGATCTCACGGAGAATGTAAACAAACTGGGTTGGGTGTGGTGACCATATTAGAAAGTCAGGTGGGGGGAGCCGTATAGCGAGTTTTGGTCATAATTTGAAATGACCGTATTAGCGGAACACCGTAAAGCGAAACGCCGTAAAGCGGGGCCCTACTGTATATAATATATGCCCCTTACCAAGATATGGTTCCATCATTGTTCGAACCACATCACCAGAGATACCCAATAACTTCCTGGTATCTCTCAATGTATTACTGCCAGTGTACACAATGATATCCAAAGCGAGACCACTTTTGCAATCACACAGTACAAATAACTTTATACCAAAGCATTTCCTTTTGCTTGGTATGTACTGCTTAACTGAGAGTCTTCCTTTGAATAAAATCAAAGACTCATCAATAACAAACTTCCTGAAGGGATAAAAATACTTGCAACACTTTTGTTTCAGGTACATAAACACATTTCTGATCTTGTATGACCTGTCGCTTCTGTCAGGCCTTGTTTTGTCTGAAAAGTGTAACATACGTAACAATATCAAAAAACGATTCACACCTATAATGTCACTAAAACCTGGGGTTGAAATCAGGGTTTCTGTTGACCAGTATGTGGTGACAGTGTGCTTATACACATCTGGCATAAGCATTATTGTGGCAAAAAAACAGGTACATCTCTGCCACAGTTGTGTCCTTCCACTGGTGTAGCCGTGATCTTGGTGAAAGAATTGTATTTGCCATGGTGTACTCATAGTAGGTGTTGGTTTCCCTGACAATAATGTCCATCAGGGGTTCATCAAAGAATAATTGAAAGCATTCTAGTTCAGTGGCATTGTTCCCAGGTGTACACGATGGCTGTATTCCACTTTGTGTTTCATCAAAGTCATGGGGATTGGGAATAAAAGCGTCACCTTGCTGCCAATCCCAGATGCGGTCTGCTGGTGGGTTCTGGACATTGAAATGAGGCTATGGTTGTGCAGGTTGTGGTTATTGTGGGAGTGTGGGGGTTGGGTGAGGCTGGTTGTAGTTGTGCAGAGTCAGCAGCGTCGGTAGAAGCGTGGCCCGCTGCTGGTGCCACGTGACTCATGTCACCATCACTATCACCACCACCACCACCTGCTGCCTCACTCACATCATTCATACCCATCGAAACAATATCGTCATCTTCACTATCAGTTCATGGTGTAGGGCCATGGGATGTGCTCCGAGATTTACTTCTTCCACTTGGAACACCATACGACACACTACCAGACCACATGCTACGTCGTATACACTGCTGCTTCACTGGAGAATATTCACCCTCACTGTCACAACTAGAACTGCTTTCAGTAGTTTTGAAATCACTATCACTTTCACTGCTCACGTCTGAGTCTTGTACACGGGCAGATAGTTTCCTCTTTCGTCCTGGTACAGGTGAATGTGAACGAGCTGGCCCAGCACCAGTGGTGGAAGGTCGTGGGTCATCTGGGTTTTCATCACTAATTACGTTATCCTGGGCACTGTTTTCAGTCACACCCGCTTGAAAACCATGGGATTTACTTTCACTGGCACTTCCATCACTGTTAGAGCTATCGCTTGGGAACAAAAGACCTCCAATCCGCCGAGGAGTGAGGTACTTCTTACCACGAGGCATGGTGAAAATGGACTACCAAGATGGCGTTCCCACAATGCACCACTGAGTCCCAGATTTTTTTCACAGGGTGCACACCCACCACTCAGACCCATTCTCTCTCATGTAGGCCTACCAGCTTTCTCCCGCTTGATTTGAAGCCACTAGAATTTACGCAAATAAATACGTCTGAAACAGTGGCGCATAAGACATATATATATACGACCAAAACAATCAAAGGATTAAAGAAAGGGAATAAGATATTGGCAGTTTGGAGGGACATTTAACCCTTAAACTGTTCAAACGTAGATCTATGTTCACATGCGTAGTGCTCCGAATGTTGATCTACATTTTTTTTACATAAGAAAGCATATAATATCGAACATAGATCTACGTTCGGAGTGGTATGCACGTGAAGATAGATCTACATTTAGACAGTTTAAGGGTTAAATGTCCCTCCAAACTGCCAATATCTTAATCCCCTTCTTTAAATTGCAGGCATTGTATTTCCCATTTCCGAGACTCTAGCCCGGCTAACCGGTTTCCCTGAATCCCTTCACGAAATATTACCCTGCTCACACTCCACCAGGCTCCAAAAAGCATTCGTCTCCATTCACTACTGTCTAGCATGCTCATGCACACTTGCTGGAAGTCGTATCTGAGCACCTCTGCAAAGACAGTGATTATGTATGAGTTATGGTGAAAGTTTTGAATGATGAAAGTTTTTTCTTTCTTTTTGGGTCACCCTGCCTTGGTGGGAAGTGGCCAACATGTTGAAAAAAAAAATGATCAAGAACTTCAATTCTTATTCTAATACTGGCTGTGTTGCATCAGCAGTAGACATTGATCATTTTTAGTTGGGTACCTAAATATTTTGGTGCGCAGGGCAATGAATATCCTGTCAGTAATCGGAATTATTAACGAAGAAGCATAATCACAGTTGCATGTCGGGCCATCCATCTTTGATGGAGAGACTTTTTGTTGTGAGAAAAGTTACTTTACTCTTGTGACTCCCTATTTGATATGAAAGATTCACTCATGGTCATGGACTGTGCATCTGTCAGAATTGTCAGACCGTGTTGACAGTCAGACATCTTTTGAATGTCGTTTTTATCAGAGTAGATAGGATTCATTTCCTGCACCTCAGGAATGTCCTGATGTCCTTGCTATGACTGTTAGAAAGCCTCACTATTAACCCTTAAACTGTCCAAACGTAGATCGATGTTCACGTGTGTAGCGCTCTGAACGTAGATCTAAGTTTTATTTTACATGCTTTCAACCTTGGCATGATAAGCCTGAGTTGCCTAGACATGAGAGAATGAGAGTGTGCGCAGTATGACAAAATTCAGGGTTGTCGGGAAAAATGTGCTCCTCATTTTAAATACGGGTGGGTATACCAACTGAACTTTGCAGAGGGGCCTCTTTAGCAGTGCCACAGTATGGTCTATGCAATAAAACACCCTACTTCCCTCTTCAGTTTCTCTAGGGATGGATATTTGCAGAGGGGTGGTGTCTTTAGCAGTGCAGCAACAGTGTGGTATAGCCAATACAACACCCTAGTTCCCATTTCCGCTGCGTATGTGAAAAAAAAAAAAATTCCCCAAAATATTCAGAGTGGTACACATATGAATGTTGATCTACGTTTGGACAGCTTAAGGGCTAATGTGCATGCTCATGATTTAACTGAAACTGACGTTTGGCACCCATCACTCCCACTGAAGCAGTTAAATACTTTAAAGGTACAGTACAGTATATGCTTAAATCATACATCTTTATTATAACACTCTTTTTAAAAAGTATTAATTACATTGCATTCTTTGTAGGTGATGCGATGTTACCTATCATGTCATCAGAAAAAACTAGCACACCAGCCCAGGATATGATAATAGCTCAGTCGTCACCTCCAGCACCTCCAGCCAAGCTGCCTCCAGCCTCTCAACACTCCCACACGGTTAGATCTTACATCTTTGTGAAAAAAATTCTAATAGCCTGTCATTTTTGTGTGCAGTGTTTCTTAATATGGTGCTCACTTAGTATGTATGATGCATGTTACCTTTCTTTGAATATACTGTTGTTTACTGTACTGTTTTTCTCCTTGCTATATTTTAGGACTAATTTTGATTTTTTTTTTTTGAGTCGATTGAAACTTGTGATTGCAGGCAGTGTACCTCTCACCTTAACCCTTTCAGGGTCTGAACCCCTGATCTGCTACAGTCCCAGCCTCCCTTCCACACTCCCAGCATGCCTGCTACACTCCCTGCCTTCCTCCTACACTCCCTGCTACACCCTGCCTCTCTACTACACTTCCTGCTTGCCTGCTTCACTCCCTCCTTGCTACATGTCCCGCCTTCCCGCTACACTCCCTGCCTGCCTGCTGCACTCCCTGCTTGCCTGCTACACTCCCTGCCTCCCTTCCACACTCCCTGCATGCCTGCTACACTCCCTGCCTCCCTGCTACACTCCCTGCTGCACTCTGCCTCTCTACTACACTTCCTGCCTATCTGCTTCACTCCCTCCATGCCACACTCCCTGTTTCCATGCTACACTTCCTGCCTGCCTGCTTCACTCCCTCCATGCCACACTCCCTGTTTCCCTGCTGCACTCCCTGCCTCCCTGCTACACTCCCTGCTGCACCCTGCCTCTCTACTACACTTCCTGCCTATCTGCTTCACTCCCTCCATGCCACACTCCCTGTTTCCCTGCTGCACTCCCTGCCTCCCTGCTACACTTCCTGCCTGCCTGCTTCACTCCCTCCATGCCACAGTTCCTGCCTCCCTGCTAAACTCCCTCCTGCCATGCTACACTTCCTACCTCCCCACTACACTCCCTGCCTCCCTTCCTCAGCGTATGTGTAAAGAACCTAGGATAACCCAAGAAAGTCAGACAGAGTGACTTATTTCCATTGGGGTCCTGCCTGCCTGCTATACTCCCTGCCTCCCTGCTAAACTCCCTTTCACAACTTTAGCTTCCTTGATGTTTGGATGAATGAGCAGAAGTGTCCTCACTCGCCCAGACACACAGCCAGACTGACTCACGAACGCACGAGTGGCTGGCAGGCAGGCGGGTGGACGCATCCAATATGGCCAATAAGCGAAATAACGGCCGATAACCGGAACAGCTGACAACCAAGGGTCCACTGTACATTATTTAGACAGGCATACTGGTCAGAGAGCCCGTCATAAGTCTGAGTCATCTGTAAACGAGTACGTCGCTAAGTGAGGAGAGGGTATGTTACGCTTTTTTCCCCCCCATTTTGAATTTTTTTTCACACAAGAAATAGAGTTACTGTTATGCAGACTACTACATTATTGTAATAATTACATAAATAATATCAGCGTACTTTGGTACCTTGACTTACGAGTGCCCCAACTTACCAGTTTTCCCGAGTTACGAGCAGTCGCTTGGTCAATTTTTTGCTTTGATTTGCAGGCCAAAATTTTAGTTACGAGTGAGCTCCAGATACACTGCCACTAATTGGAGGCATATCTGAAGTCAAATCCAACTCTGTACCCAGAGGAATGTTAGGTACAGTGGACCCTCAGGTAACGATTTTAATCCATTCCAGAGAGCTTGTCCTTAACCGATTTTAACGTTACCCGAATTAATTTTCCCCATAAGAAATAACGGAAATCTAATTAATTCATTACTCCTGTCAGGAGGCTCAACAGAATAGTATTTCAGTATGATGCTATTATCAACTCTACAGCTTATCTATCATAATTCATTTAATATGACATAATAAACAATATTAATAACATAGAAACATGATATATACTCTAGAATGAATGTTAGGTACGACACATATGCAACAGTTAGGTATCTTTATTTCAAAATGTTTTGCGCAGTATAAAAAAAATCCTGCAGCACTCAGTGCATAATGAGAAAAAAAAAACTGACAGTTTTTGGTTTAAAACAGCAACTTTGCACTGTATTTTCGTATGCTATTTATGGTTGTATTCCAGTTTTCCTGGTCTCATTTTATAAAATGGAAGACATATTACAGAAATTGAGAGGATTTTTATTGGTTTCATAATGATAAGTACCTTGAAATTGAGCTCAAAGTTGCAGAAATGTTCTACTTTTGCCAAAGTTCGAAAGTAAATAAATCAAGCCATGTGTCCAATGCACATCAGCTAGTGAGTAATATTCTTTCACAAGTGCGCTGATATTATTTATACCATTTCTACACCATTTCTATACTAATGCAGTAGTCTGCATAACAATAAATCTTCTATTTTTTGTGAGAATAAAAATTCAAAGTGGAAAGCAAAAGAAATATAACAGAGGCCTGGAGACATGACTGATGAACAGAGGAAATGTTATTTTAGTGCAAGGAATGTCTGTCTTGTTTATTCTGGACCCTATTTGGAAATTGGCATCTTTTGAAATTTGTGTGAAATTGGCAAAATTGTCAATTTTTGACTACTTTATTGGATAGTTGAAATTGGTAAATGGGTGGTTTCTTGTACTCATTCGATAGAAAAAATGGAGTTCTAGCGAAATAGTTATGATTTTTGTCGACTGGTACATTGGAATTGGCCGAAAATAGGGCTCAAAGTGGGCGAAATTGCCGATGTGTAAATATTGTCGAGACTGCTAACTTCACGAGAGCATAAATTCGCAAGTTTTCCATCAAATTTCATACTTTTGGTGTCATTATGATCAAGAAAAGATTCTCTATCATTTCGTAAGAAAAAATAATAATTTTTTTTTTTTAATTTCCGACCCTGTAAGGGTTAACTGAGTTTAACGTTAGCTGAGCCAATATTTTTACACAAAAACGCATCAGTATCCGATTTTATCGCTATCCGATGGCATCATTACCCGAGGGTCCACTGTGCTTTGTCCCATCTCACATGCTCTTCCAAGACATAAGTGGAAGGATAATACTCCCACAGTAATCCCAGATTGTAGTGAGGCACCTTGCCCCTTGTTTGGTTCTTGTATAAATCCGGGGAAGAGGTAACCTCCATTTCAACACTCAGAGTTTGTCCAGAAACATTAATTGAGGTGGGTGGAGAACTGATAGTGGTGGGTGGAGTAGTGATAATGGTAGGTGGAGTAGATATGGTGGTGGGTGGAGTAATGAGGGTGGGTGGAGTATACAATATTTATTTATAAACACATTTTTCTTATTTAAAAACAGATAAAAATAACTTGGGGCGGTTTTTTGGGGGCTGGAACAGATTAATGGCATTTCAATTAATTTCAGTGAACAAAATTGATTTGATATAAGAGCAGATTAAGTTAGGAGCTTGGTCACAGAACGAATTAAACTCATATGTCAAGGTATTTGGACATGCATTGGACCAACCAGTCTAACAAATCTTGGATGAGTGACTTAATTTGTGCATTCTGAAATATCGGCAAAAATCAAACATTTCCGCTACTTTCAATCCTAAAGCCATTCAAAATCATCACTAATTCTCTAACATATCTTCCATTTTATCAAATGAGACCAAGAAACCGACACTACAACCATAAAAACCCTTTGAAAATGCATCACAAAGTTGCTGTTTTAAACCAAAAGCACAGTCTCAGTTTTTTGTGACCAGAAACACTGGTCACAAAAATTATTGCAAACAAAATGTAATGAACACTGAGTCTAATCAAAAGTCACTGAATGTCACTAAGAAATCACTGTAGACTAAGAAAATGTCTCATCGCTCGGAAATGCCTTGATGCGTTGATGGTGGGGAGGCGAGGCAGGGTGGGGAGGGATGGTGGTTGTCGCTAGCGCTGCTCTCCACTTCCCCACACGTTGAATTTTTTAATATGTCTGCGCTCATATCAACAATACACACACACACACAGGAGACTTTTACGTTGGCGCTCAGGGATGAAGAAACACTCTTGTGTCTTGACCCCCTATGCAATCCCAAAAAATGATGGTATAACCCTGTATAAGGGTAGGAAATGGCAGTGGTTAGATATGGGTGAGTGGGGCAGCACACTGAGTCACTGCATGGGTGGTGTGAGCAACCTGTCCCAGGCAGTTGGCTGGCTGACTGAATGAGCGGCTTAACCCATGCACTCTGGCATACACCCACACTGGGCACAAAAATATTCTAAGCCCGGCTGCCTTAAAACACACAACACCACAGGGGTGGTATAAGCACTCAGGATGGCTCGGAACTGGGAGCACAAAGCGATGGTGAAGGCTGGAACTCATGTGGCTTGCTTGAGTACTGCTGGTAGTCAGCTGGGTTAGCTGGCTTGCTTAACTAAGCCCTTCTTCACCCAGATGAGGATGGTTTGAGAACATGTAACAATGACCACAGCAGGTTGGGAAGCTGGCTTAGCAGGCAAGGCTAGTACTGGAGCAGGCTGGGTGGCTTAGAGCTTTCTCCCCCCCCACAGACTAGCTTGCTGGCTTAATTTGCAAACCTGAGTCAACCCCTCGAAAGTAATGCAAATAGGCAGGGAAGGCACAAAGACTAACCAGGAAGCAAACAGGCTGGTGGATGTTGACGCAGGCATCGCGGCAGGCCTAGACGCAGTCATAAGATGGCACTGGCACAGTAGGAGTTCATCTCCAGATATCACCGTTATCATCAAAATTACGGGCCCTCCGCTGGCACCATTTGTATCATGGGGGTTCTAGGAGATAAAGGTGGTGTGGTAATACACTTGGGTATGGCTGGTAACACTTGTACATGTATTTGCAGAGTTGTGAGGGAAAGCCTAGCCTAGCCTTGTTCTTGCCTGTGGGTCTATCCGGGAGCAGAGAGAGGCAGGGTGACTGCCGCTCACATGTTGCACCTCATGACGTCACATGCTAGCCCCCTAGGCCTAGCAAGGGATCTTATATATAAAATATATAGATGGTACTAACTAAGATATGCTACACAAACGTACATTAGCTCTGCTGACATGAAGAGACGGGGCCAGGAGCTATGACTCGACCCCTGCGAGTACAACTAGGTGAGTACGTACACACACACACACACA